TTGATGTTGGTTGACAGATAGTTATTTTGAGTTCCAGATGTTCTCCAGTTGTAAATATGCTGCTCTTGCTTTGCCGATCCGCGTCTTCACATCTGCATCAGATCCACCGTGTTCATCAATGATGCTGCCCAGATATGTAAAAGTTTTCATATCATTCAAAGCTTCTCTGTCAAGTGTGATTCGATTGATGCATGTATCGGAGAATCTTACTTTTCACTTTATGTACGTTGAGACCTACTTCTACACTGATCATCTCCTACACTTGTTGTTGAGTGTGAGATAGAGAAACCAGATCATCTGCGAAGTCTAGATCATCCATGGAAACGAAACAGAAAAGTTTTAATCAATAAACATTCCTAGCATTCGCCCCTCTAATTAATAGCATATTTTTTATTCATGAAGGAAACATAGAAATAACATTTTGTCTTTTAAATTGTTATTTGTATATCTATTACACATTCTTAAATGTATGAATATATATATTTATATAGTTCAACTTAACATTCATTAAAATATTAAAAAAATTCATCCTCAATTATTTCAACATCAATAATCATCTTTATTTAAACAGTGATATAAAATAGTCAGTTATTCAACGTTCAACCTTTGCTTGAACATAGTTTTATTGTGATTGTTTATCAAAAATATATTTCATTAGTTGAGATCATGAGTCAATTGATGCTAGACCACTATGGGAAACCTGGAAGCACTGGACAGCCATTTCGTCCTATTATGGGACTCTTCAGCAGTGTGAGTACACGATCCCACCTTGCAAGATTCGAACCCAGGACCTATCAGTTTCGCACGCGAGCGCTTAACCCTTACACCAATGAGCCGGCATCCAACGTTGTTAGTGTCTAACTTCAACCGAACCACGAAATTGAAAGGCACATCCATCAATGTCTACAGTGAGTTACTATCTCACAACAGACTCGGTTGAACTCCACTGTTTCTCACTAGAACCCCAGGAAATACCTCATGGAGCCAGTCACTAGTGAGCATATGTTGATAATTATCAGAAAGACTTTTGTGCATATTATAGTAATTTCAATAGTTGAGATCATTAGTCAAATATATTTATTTGAAAGTCAATGACATTTGAATTGTTAAAATAATTGTTTTAATCTACTATCGTAAATTGAATCATATTTTGTTTACCTTTACGTTAGATAATTCCAGAACGAATTCAGTTCAATCAAAAGTTAAAAATTTATCGCAATATTTTTGTTGCCAAAAAAAGAAAAGGAAAATTCACATTGTTATAACTGTTAAATATATATATATAATATATAATATATATATATATATATATATATTCTCCTTATTACGACCCAGCTATTCTTATTACTCAGTATTCTTGGATCCAATACACTCGACAAGTCCCCAAATCAGAACACGGTTGAACAGGGAAGAAATTATATCCCGAGTAACAAGGATAGATGAAAATAAGAAGCGAAATATGGAATACCTTAGTATATTTCTAGTTTTTACATGGGTAGATTCTAGAATCTTCTCCAAGCATAGAATAGCGCTGATTAGATAAGAATTAGCCAATCAGCGTGCAGCAACACAGTCGTGCATGGAACATGCTCTAATCGAATCTACAACCCTCCAACACAGGTCTTAAACTGTTACATTTGAAATTAGTGACTTTAATAAAACACACTAAGAATAATATGAAAATTTTAAATTTTCTTTTAGGTAATGTTTCTGTATACATATTGTTAAGGAGTGTCAAATTAAAGTGATAAAAATTTTCAGGCTACCCTAGAAATTAATTGATCTAATCATATAGTAAAAATAAAGTACAATGGAATCTTATTGTTTTACTACTTTATCTAATGAATTTTAGAGCTATAAACTGGAACAGAAAAAGCGTTTCATCACAAAATAACATAAGTACAGAATTATTGATAAGTAGAAAGCACTGAACGGATAATCTATACTAGTTTTAAACTCTTGAATAGTGAATATCTATGACATAACGCAAGAGATCGAATCCGGAATCTTAAAGTCTCCGTGTGAACACAGTACATTTAAATTACTGAGTTAGATTCCAATATATGACTCAAAATATTTCTACTCAATTTTATTTTGGCTGGTTATAGGGAATCAAACTTTCTAAATTTATTATTCTGTCTAAAACTCAACTTATAGATTTATTTTATGTTATAGTTATTCTTCTCTTTATTAGTTAACAATAGCGAAAAAAAGATCATGATAGGGCAACGATGGTTTTGAATGAGCGTTTCACAATGGTGTATTCGTGAGTTTGAATATTTTTTTGTAAGTAATATAACATTTAAAAGGGATTGTTTAATCTTTCTCATGATTGACATTAACTCTTCATTTATTTAACAGAATCAGTTGTAAGACGGAAAACCAATCGTACATTCTATGGCCTTGATGTAAGAAACATCTTCTACATCAATCTTATTTCTAGCTATAAAATAACCTTTACTATTCAAACATGAAAAAAAAGCTACATACGAAATGTTAGTAGTTTCTATAATCTGTTCAGCCTTTTTTTATCTTACACTTGATTATGAAATTGTTTGATAGTACCCTGGTTATTAATACGTATATAAATAGAATGATGAAAAATATTGATATTTTTATAGATTCTTAAGTTAGTTTGCCATTTTGTCGATCTTTTTGTATACCCTGAATTTAATTACCCTTCTAATCAATCAGTGATGTAAGAAATGTTAAACATTTTGAAGTAGGTAACTATAAAATTTAGGAACAAAAAAAGAGTTTCATTTAAATATACAGGTGAGGATTTTGTATAGCTATCTAGTTTTCTCTTCAGTGCATGGGTTGAGTTCTAACTTGACTAAGTGTTATGTAGTAGCGAAGACATAAGTACGGGTAACTTGCAGGACCTAATATTGGACTATCATTCTTATTGTATAACTATTCGGTAACTAGATTATCTAAGCTTTATTTTGACCTATTGATTATTACTCTATGATTTACTGTCCCTATGTTATACTCAGTTTTATTGATTATTGTCTCCCACGCTTACAGCCTCATTTGGTCTGGTTTTGTACAAATCTTATTTTCTATTTTATGGTGTGGTGTGGTCTGCCTGTCTGGTATATAGATAAAGTATGTTTGAAATAAACGATTCGCATCACAGCAGCTGCTATTGGTGTTCTGGACTCAAGTGGACGGGTTAGGCGGATAAGGACCAATAAGGACGCTAGATTACTCATATTAATCGAACGTCATTGTCACAGTGTGAAGGTCGTAGAAGGCGTATTCTATTGGTGGATAATTTACGCGGATTACGTCCTTGTTAAGTTCGTAAGGTCATAACGAATCAGCGACGATCTTGATCAAGTCATAACAATTGGCTACGGTCTAGGTCAAAAACATAACACTAAGATATATAAGGAAGTCTAACTTTACGCAGATAGTAAAATCTGGTTAAATCCTATGGACCTAGATCCAACTTTTTTCAAGAACCAGTCTAAAAAATAGATCTGTAAGCATAAAGTGACTAATATACTTCATAAAATGGAGTGTCGAATTGGAAACCATTACTTCCATTGATAATCCCTTACGGCTATTTGACATATTAATGAGATTCTGAATAAACAGATACATTGGATAATTATATCACTAAGTGGTAAAGAATCGATTTGGAGCAGAATGTATTCTTTTATCTATCTTTCTATATGATATTGTGGCCATATATCTATTTAATTCGATGACAGTCGAATGTTAGGTGGTTGAAGTCAACGGACAGAATAGCTTGAACTTGAATTTTTTTCCAAGTTGTCAACCACTAGACAAAGGTTATCTACAACCTTAAAGGAAATAACGTTCGCCACGGGATCCTAATCAACGTCACCCAGTTTCAAAGTTTATAATGTTACCGATGCGGGTTATTAACGACCCGTACGACTGATTTATTTGCATTGATTTATAGTTCAATAGATTGTATTTAATCTTAAATAAACTTTCCTGTAATCAATACTCCACTCATAAACCATTAATATAAACAAAATACTGATAAATCACGAATGTAACATACGTAAACTTTAAAGAAGTCATCTTTTGGTCTAGCTTCAATCGACTCATGATTTCAACTTTGAAATATACTGAAATCTCCACAAATCCCCTTCTGATTATAATCATATGCTCACTAGTGACTGACTTGAGTTATCCACTTTGAAGCACTAAACATTATTGCGTTTCTATTAAGAAGCAATGACCTGTGGAGTTGAACCAGGTCTGTTGGGAGATATCAACTCACTGAAGACAATGATAGACGGTTGATATATTTGGTGGATTGGTTGAAGTTAGATAGTAACACCGTTGGATGCAGACCGGCTCAGTGGTCTGGATGTTGAGTGCTCACTCACGAAATTGATAGATCCCGGGTTCGAATCTCGCGAGTCGTGATCGTGGATGCACACTGCTGAGGAGTCCCAGAATAGGATGAAACGACCATCCAGTGCTTCCAGGTTTTTCGTGGTGGTCTAGCTTCAATTGACTCATGATTTCAACTATAGAATTACGAGAACACATTTTTATTCTAGTTTTTGGCCACTGTTTCTGACTGGAAATTACGTTGTTTATTTCAATAAGATTATTATATGAATTCGACGTCTTATTCAGTGGTGACATGCATTTACTGGTGAAAAACCTTCTCACTAATTCAGACAACAACAATTTATTTAGATAGGTTAATTTCATTTCAAAATTGCATAACAAAATGCTTATTCGCAATCTAGCTAATATAATTCCGGTTAACATATTTGTTATTTCATATTTGGACAGCTAGAAAATCTATAAAACAATCTGTTTATAAGTAATGTGATAATATCACTAGCAAATTTTTTATGAACTCACTGATAATTACATTTTGAAAATAACAGACAATAGTGAATTTACTATAAGGGTAATGAATTATTCGTATTTGTATACCAGATACCTTTTATCCTTAGATTTAGCTTTAGTTATACGATATTCATTCAGAGTTTGTATTTTTAACAGACATTGATAATCACTAATTTATTGGTTGGTAATATTACAAAACTAAAACTATGATGTTTTGTAAGCGGCATTAGCCATAAAGCACGTGCACTTGTAGGTGTTGTACAGAATCCCAGTTCTAATGAATGGGCCATAATCTTGCTTCCCCCCCCCCAAAAAAAAAACACACAATAAAAGCATCCCAAATAAACCAACAAAGATAAACGAAAATGGAACGTAAAAATATTATTTGTGAATGAATGAAATGCATGCGAAGGAAATTTGCGAATAAATAAATTTCAACATACTACTCACAAATATTTCTCATGAATTAACTATGTTCTGGATGAGTAAAAAAAAACTGTCAATTGATTTTAACACTTGTCAACTTACACATAAAAATATTACATTGAAAAATGATATTATAATCCGAACCAGCTCAAATCCTTTTGACATAATCCATGTTTGAAATATACGAGCCACTCTGAGAGATGGTACTTGTTCATGTACTGACTGAAATACAAAACGAACGTTAAAGAAATTGCAAATACTCTACTTAACTATCTAACTAATTTGATTCAAGAAATAACTAGGTCTGTTGATTAACTCAGTTTAAATAGTATGTTCTTCAATGAAGTCGTGATATGTTACATTGTTAGGACAGAATGTAAACAATTTCCAAAGAATGTTAATATTTCAATCAAAATTCACAGTATTCACAACAAAAAAGAGACATTTTTGTGAATTACATTTGCATTTTGTGTAAACATGATGACTGTCTTTGAAACCTGTAGTTTCTTTAATATAACCTTGTGTAGACCGGAAAAATTGTTATCTAGGTAATCATAGTTTAAATGAAGTAATGACCTGTTGAATGTAGTTAAATGAGTATATAACTATTTGTTAGATACATATTGTGCCATTTAACAGTGTAGCGAAAATAACATCTATGCAATAACTCATCTCCATTAGTATTTATTATTAATTGAGATTTGGTAACAAAATAAATGTTTAGAGTATGCTAAACAAACTTTCATTTAATTACATAATTTACAGTACATTTATATGCTGATCACAGGTAAAGCTTTTTTACTGACACTGAAATCATAATTTACTACCAACCATGTTGGTTGAGAGAAACCAATTAGTCATTCAGATAATTTACTGGTAGTAATTCTTTCCTATGAACGCTGTTTAGAGACTGAGTGGAAAATAGTGATAAATAAACAACTAAATTTTCCTGAAAGTATTCAACAAAACGGAATTCTGAACGGTGAATTTATTATCAAATTTGCTCAATTATACATGTATATACGTGGGATTTGAAGGGGATATTCCGCGATGAAGTATAAACAACGAATAAATCTCATGAGCTTATTATGTCATTGACTTTGATAATCCATTTTCAGCCTTGAATTTAATACCTACTCTTTTTATTTACACACTCTGAAGAAGCTAAAGAGCTTTGCTCTATTATCGTTATACTATATAGCCTAGTATTTTGGTTTTTCTGCGGCATATATATATATATATATATGGTTGTATAACTTTAAAAATACATCCATTGGGTGATTTTAGTGTTTACAGTGTATTAATAGGAAATATAAAGAAACATTTCTTTTATGGGCAATAGTTGGATTCATCTTACCTGATTTGATGAACCAGATAAATCCAAAATTTGAAATAACTGCATAAATTGTTTTGCATTAATATTTCCATGTGCATGTCTCATGCCTTATAAGAAAAAAAATCAAATTGTAATGAAATGGTAACTTTCAGTTTACAGAAAGTTCCTCTTAATAGTATGTATATTAATAAATGTATTAACCAAAATGTTGATGAATAGAAGTATTTGATTTTCATATCGAAATGCATTTTATACTTCAGACTTGTCAATTAATATGCTGGAAATATTGCAAAAGCACATTATTACGTTTTCAAATCACTATCACACTTTTCACATATACACTTTAAGTAAGGTTACATGTTAACAATGATGAAACATATCAAGTACAGTTTCGTGAACTTGGCTTTTAGCCACATTTTATGCATAAAAGCTGTTTATACTATTCGATTTCCTAAACCGAAGTAGGTACATTTAGACGAACCAGTGACGTAGTTGTGTAAAGTTGAACGCTTTAACATCTAGGCTATAGTTCCATCGTTTTAACGAATGTACTTTGTATATAACTGAATAATGAGTACGTCAAATACTTACAAAAGATTGTTCACCTATTTAAAAACATGCATAAAAACATATTTAAATTTTACTAAGATTTTGACCACCAGCTCGTTGGTTGAAACTGTCCACTCAACAAACATCAAATCATCCACCAGAGCTATAGATCTTTGTCATTAATTCAATTAATAAACATTTATATTTCAGAATTGTTTGTACTAAAATTTATCAATTTTTACGGTTTATATTCTTGTCCATTTGAATGTAGTGGTGTGGAAAACAGAGAAACTTTACAGAACAATTTAGAAATTATTTTACTGTCCAATTGCTAGGTGAAATATATAAATCATTTATTCACTAGAGGAAAACCATAAATTTCATTATATTTTACTTAAGAATTAGTGGAATATATTCAATAAGGTCACATAACTTTAATTTCAAAAAAACCTAAAATATTTTAAACGTATACATTCTAACAAACACAACAATGGAAGTAATTTGAACCCGAATCATTTTCATAGTTGAAATCATGAGTCAGTTGAAGCTAGTCCACCAAGGCGAGGTCGTGGATGCGCACTGCTGAAGAGTCCCATAGTAGGACGAAACGACCGTACAGTGCTTCCAGGTTTTCCATGGTGATCTAGCTTCAATTGACTCATGATTTCAACTATGAAAATACTAAATTCTCCACAAAACCCCCTCTGAACCAAATCATTTTGTTTAAAAGAAATCTCATTTTCTTGTTTTATATTTTAGGACTCAATAATCTATCACTAACCGATCTCTTTTGTTAGCTATCCCAAAAGAACCAATGTTGTTCTGTTGAATCTCAAAGGATCGTGAATATGTTGTTTTAGAATCACTGTAATTATTCACAAAGATAAACGTTATATTATTATCTTAACATCGTGTTTCTACACTAAAGTGTATCAAATTATTTTTCTCATTCCATAAGACAGTGTAATCATTTAAAAAGTACAATAAACCATATAATTTTAATTGAGACTAAGCATAAAATGCCGAAAGCAGAATTACCCAAAATGATAATAATAATTTAAAATCTTCTTGAACATACTTACTTGACGTAGTGTATCTTTCTTCCAGGTATCTATGTGGACAGTTTTAATTAGTCCAACTATATCATCACTTGATACTAGCTCCATGCCACTAAGATTAAAGAAAAAGAGAAACAGCATTGAATGTAAGTGATATGGTCAGATCCAATAATAATAACGAAGAAAAAAATAATTTTTTTTAAATAAAAGATTTCACAGTTAATATATATATATATAGTTCTAATATATTATTCCCTGTAGATCTGTTGCTGTATTTTTCAAAATATTCAAGATTATTTTCCTGAGATGTTTCAGATAGGACGCATGGTTATCAGTGCATCTGGAATCAGGTACACTAGTCATACGATGTGTGGTCTATCCTTGGTTACAGCTGAGAGACGAGAGATCGTCTAGCTGTTAATATGAAGTCAGTTGCTTCATTGGTATTTGATTAGACATATAAAATCTACTGTTATATTTACGTTTCTTTGAGACAGGTATCGTTGTTTACAAATTGATATTTTCCTTTGATGAAAATACACAATGAAAGTAGTTATCAACGTTAATTGGAAATCAAAGGACTCTAAATCAAAAAATTAAATCAGTAGAGAAACCATTAAATATTATCTCTATTTGGTATTTCTCGTATGCTTTGCATAAACTTTTGTAGGAGAAATAATAAAACATTATTCAGCTGCTCATTTACTACTGATGATAGCCCAATAACAGGTTGAATGATTAATTTAATTAAAATACCAATTTTAATCGAAATGGAAGATTTCAAGAAGATCTTCAAATCGATATTACTTCACGTTATGAACTAATTTTAGCGACTTTATCTAAAAACGTCGAAGGAACTGGATGTTAGTTTTGTCCAAGCATGCGATTCTTCAAGAGTGGACATCTATGACTTCGTTGTTGATTAAACTGAAGATCGTCAGAATATTTGGTGATTTGAGAAATATTTGTCAATGTTAACTAATGAAGGCTTTCATATTACGACAAAACAAATATTCAACTCTCCCGGGTTTTCAGTGGTTTTCTATTTAAATTGAATAAGTTATGTAAACTGTTTTATTTTGGTTCAACATTCTCCAGATTCTCAAGTACGTAAGATTTCCAGATCACCAATTCACCTTTTTTCACCCTTATATTGACATAATAATAAATTTATTCCCTTTAAAAGTTCAATAACAATCAAATGACACTGAAGAAGAAGAACCAATACATTTTTCACTATGACTACAATTGAAATTTGAAATTAACTCATTATGTTTAACATAAATTGAAAATATCGAATTAAACAATGATGATTATGTAATTTCACAAGTTCTTTTTAATTATCACAAAAAGCGTTAGACTGTTTCATTTATGGAAATGTTTGAAAAGAATTTAATTGTATAGGTACTTCAAAGCAAAGCCTAATTCCTACTGTAAAAAAACTATTACTATCATTGATTAGTTAAAGCTTCCAAAAACTACATATAATTTGTATGTACGGAAATAATCGTATGTAATTTATGCATCAATGTGTTCTTATTGTTTTAATGAAGTTTGATTTCTCCAGGAAAATAATGAATTGAAACTACTAAAAGAGTTGCATATGAATGCATAGTTCTCAGTTTACTTACAGTAAGCTGTGAAAATCGTATCTGTAAAAACTGTAGTTAGTATAATGGATCACTATGTTTTGGGGAACAGTTTAAAACCGGGAAGCATTGGATAGTTTTTATATCATATTTTGTGATACATCACCAGTTCGAATTTAATTCGATGCTGGAGACTGAATTTAGGACTGTGAGGTTTAACAGAGAGGGTGCTTTTTCAATGGACTGGGTTAAAGTTCAGTGAACCACATTTCTAACTTGATTTAGTTCGTTATAAAAAACTAATGTTGCTCATTATCTGGCACTTTTAGAAAATTACTGAACACCACTCGTTAGGACTTCATATTAGAACTTCTCAAACTATTTGTAACTTGTTTACTGGGGATTACTTTATTATTATTTGGTCGAATTGAATGAAAATTATGTTAATTGATACCTGCCTTTCATGTGGTTCCTCAGATGATGTCGATCTATGATGAAAATCACATTATTTATCATTTCATAAGCAAATGATATGTCAAAATTAAAATATAAGAACTTTTTTTGAAAACATTCCACGATTCGGAAGAGTTCAAACGTTATGAGCAGGCAGAAGTAAAATATTTCAGAAAAAAACTTTCAATTTAATAAGTTCCAAATATACAACAAAGAGTGTTTATTTTCTATAGTATATAATTAATATTAAGATAGTACATTAAAAAATCAAACTCACTTATATTCATATTTTAATACTTCAAAAGCTGCTCTTGTTGCAACTCGACGTCTCATCAAACGGGTTTGAACTGAAGACTTTCAACAGTGAGTTATGAAATAAAGATAAAAAGAATGATGAAACCTGCCTTTCAAAAATGAGGTAAATGCAAGCTAGTTGATAGTATTCCTATGATAGATAACTGAATAAAATTTTCATATAACTCGAACATCCTTTTTCAGTCCTCTTAAGAGCACGTATCATATATGTAATGAAGTGAAATAACAATTAAGGGATTTAGAATTCAATAAAGTATATGAATATAATGGTTCTTCATTTGTTAGAGCTACATTTTTACAAAGAAACGTTCCAATTTTCGAAATCAGACATGCCTAGTGCTTATTTAGTTGAACTACTCTAGAAGTATACTTATATCAAAAATAAAACTCGAATCTATGGAGGAAAGGAAAATAAATAGATCCAGTAATGAACAAGTTTTTTCTTAATGGTAACTGAATATCTTCAATTATTTCATCACATATCTCGATTGTACACATCGAGGAAGAATCTTCGATAAATGGATTAAACATATAGCTATCATCAAATAGTGATTGATGTTTTTCCATATTTAGAATAAAAGGACAAATTTTTTGTCAACCTAGTGGCATCAACCGTTTAGTGAATAGACCAACTAGATTTATATATCTAACTAAGGTTAAACTATGTAGTTTTATTTTTGAACAAAATTAAATTTACTTACTGTATAAAATAATATTCAACGATTAATATTCTATAATTTATATTTGATTTACTTACCATTAAATAACCACTGAACTGGCTATAAACAGCAGCTGTGAGAATATTCAAAAGTACATACAATCCAACACCAAGATAAACAATTGAGAAAATTGCAGTTCCTCTATTCCCATTATATGGTGGAATTAAAACTATTAAACATTATTAAATATAAAATAGGATTACGACAATAAGTAAATACTATTTCAACGAATCAAGGCGAAAAAATTGAATATATATCAAAAACACCGGTCACCGTTTGTTTATTTTACTGACTTTTGTCAAATGAGGATTAATATCTTTGCCTAACTCATCGTTATGAACTTGTGTATACTAAACGTGTTCTTCAAGATGGTTCAGAACACTAACAAACAGTTTTAGTGGTAATTTCCCTTAAAAACACTCTACTACTTTCAAAAGTTGAGAAATATGGGAAGAAACTTAAATTCTAGACATTACAGTTATTATTATGTGGTAACGTCTAAAACTGTGGTCCAGGCATTAGGGTTCTGAATCTAACATGAGCACCAGTTCTTACAAGATTAAAGATAAACATTACTGACAAGTATTTAACACAACGAAACCCAGACCAGAAGTCTCCTTCAGACTACCTCATATCACCTGACAGTTAAACTTACTCAACAGGATTTGATACACCCTAAAGGGATAGAGAGACGTGTCATTCGTCACCACTCGGTGATTACTCAACTAGAAACCTTTTTATGTAGCTCTTTCAATAACATTAGGTCATTAATTTTTCTAGAAATATAGTCATCTGTCTTTTGGTTCACAATAAACAACATAATATAATTTGAATATATATTTATGAATCCATTGGATTCAACTATTCTCAGTGTTTACTAATTTTTTCCCAATTTAATTAAACTTACCTTAACCAACGTCACTCATGATATTCAATAAAAACTCTGCTTTTCAAAAGACAGTAATGTGTATGATAATTTTGAATAAATTGAGCATTGGGTAGATTGTTATAAAGAAGTGGCTTACACTGAGTCACGAAACGTCAGAAAATGTAGTTTTGTCTGCTCGTTGGGATATTACAAATATATTCATTTATTTATAGTAATCGGTATGGCTAATTTACTTGATTTGAAAGATTTTTAAAATTTAGTTCAGTGTGCTATTCCATCTTTTATTTTAATGAACTTTGTTCATCTGGTTAAACACTATTTGCTAAATTAACAAATTTGTTTTAACCACTTCATTTCATCAATCACACAAAGCTTGTACTGTAAAGAAGAGTGTATTGTTAACGTTATCGTATTGAGTATAAACGTACTCAGAGATCACCATGGTTTCAAATCAAACTAGTGTAAATATTATAAGTAAACAAGTTTACTGTTTCATTTATAGTGAATACTTACTTCTCTTGCTAATATTTATTTGATCCTTCTTTTTACAAAAATCACTAATTCTTTCTAAATGCTTTTTTGTCTTCTTACGATTCCCATGTTTAAGTTTTGAACTGTAATATTGGTTTTAATACCTAGGTCCACAGACACAATCGAAATAAGTGTATTGAGGTACATTCGTTGCAATGTTATAGTTTACTAACTTTGGTCCACCTAAAATCTCTGAAATGACGAAACCTTGTACTAAAACTATTCGACTAGTTGCATTTGTTGTAAAACTTGTAATTGATACAATGGCTCATTTTCAACAAAAGTACTACTCAACTATTTATATTTTTAAATATTCTAAATCATTTAATTATTTAGTTTTGATATGTAGAAATAAAGTAGACAAGTGTGAAACATTTATTCACATATGATATTAGGGGAGGACTGTGCCATATCGTCATGTAACTGAAGTTAGAAATGTAAACCGTTACGTTTCAATTCAATATCACAACTGTACCATCTTTGGAGAATGATTTGAAGCATTTAAGTTTAGTCTTTGAACAAAGTGTCCAGTGGCTACTGCTATGGAACGGTTCTCTAATTTTTGTTAGTGAATGATAGAATCCACTTCAAATTCTACGAACATTCTCAAGTCACTTAAAACTGACTGTCTACTAAGATACCAACGAATAATTCCAAACTTGAAGTGGTTGTTTTTTTTGAAAACCTTTAATTTAAAAAACAATACAGTTTTTCTAATTATTAACGAAACACTAGACACACCCCATATACAAATTTCTTTTCAAAATCGTTTGACTTACTATCAGGATGATTAGTTGTGGTTAAAAGTACCAAAAGACTGAATAACGTATCAGTGAATGCAGTAGTGAATGCAGTAGTTGTGGTATTTACAACCTGTGAAAAATTATCAAATCACTTAACATGGCTACCAAGAGTAATTTTATGTTTACTATAGTTTTACTACATTTATCCAATACAATTTCGGGGTAGTAATAAATGTAATACATTTTCGAAATCAAAACGTTTTAGACAAAGAATATAAATAAATTTTATGATTCACTTGTAACTTTGTGTAGAAGAAGAACTTGATGTATTATTTTAGCAAATACAGGTCATTCATAATGAAGAGAGGTATATATCATATTCAGTTTTTATTTGTGGATTTCATTCTAGTCAACTAGTAAAACGAAATCAAATTTATCCAACCTTTCAATTTGTCGTTCGTTATTTTGTTTCCACATTTTAAAAAAAGCCTATTCACATTATGTAAAGTACCATTATGCAAATACATACAAAATAATGTAGTGAACTACTTTATTTTATTTAATTTTTATACTTTTGACAACATGCCTAGATAATGTTACTGTTTTCGTCAGAACTAAAGCTTGTAATACTCTGAGAGGTGTCTGTCAAATTACTGACATATTATTAGTAAAGTTATAAATACTGGGCGAACTAAAACAGATTAGTAAAACGTCCAGTTTTTTCAAGCACGTGAATCTGTCTTTGTGTTTCTATTAAGTACTGTAGTCATTGAACACTTAATACTAGATAATGAATCAAGCAAAACTATACTTTTCAAAAACAAACGAGTTAATTACTTAAATCACCAATTTAATACTGTGAACAAAACTATGTAAGTGAAATCTCAAAGCCATTTTTGCGTTTTACTTTAATATCAGTTACAAATTTACTCGTTATCAGAAATTTAGGTACAGATTTTTCACATCAATTCGTGACTTCGAAGAAATAGGTAATGTTGATCCTCTACGTGGGATCAAACCTAAGAAATCTCTGGTTCCTGGCCAGCTATGTGTTGTCGCTGTATGATGTTCATAATTTATCAATATACAACTGCAATCAGTTCAAAGCTATCCTACTCTTCATCTGATTACATGTAATTCTTGACGTTTTTGGGTGGAATTCCAACCAATATTGAACAGAATATAAAACGTTTACTAGTTTTATTCTAAAGGTTATGATTTTTTAACATTTATCGTTTTAACAAGAACTACAAAGACAAATTATCATCAAAAGACATACTATTGTAACTTACACTATCTTTAGTTAAATCTCGATTTGGTTTATTGAAAACGCACATTGCAACTAAAGTAGCCGAAACTAACCAAAATCCCAGCAGGAATAGAAGACTTGATTATTTTGGCCAAAAATGTAACACACGAAGTGAATGATTAAAAAAAGAAAAACTAATAGATCAGGAATATTATTTGTTTATGCTTTCAAAAGATAAACCTCGAAAACTACATTACATGACTTGAAAGCCAAAAGTTGATTTTCTCCCTTCAAAAGGCAAAGTTTATATTTCATAGGATAAATTAACCTCTCTGGCTTACGTGATTTGACGCAAAATTTATACTGATGACGAAAATAGATACTAGATACAACATGTTATTATATCTCTCACTGTTCGAATGTCGTTCACCTGATTTTTTTACTTAAATATTTTGATAACTAATCTATCGTTGATATGGAAAAGTAAATGCTTGAGACTTAATTAAAAAATAATAAATGTTATAGCTTTTCGGAGGTAATCAGAACTTGATGGTTATTTCTTAGTAACTTGTCTTACGATCATCTGGCTATAGTAAGAATCCAACACGTCTTTACTCATCGTTGTACTTGATGTTGATGTATTACACTTCTAAGCTCCAAACTGTTTTTCCATTCACTGTGAACTAATTCGATTAAGAATCTTCAACATTTCGGCGGCTGTAATTATCGGCATACATTATATTGTGAAAAGATTCACGAAAGCATCTTTCATTTCGAAATCAAATATAGACCAAATGAAGCTTTCAAACAGTCTAACTGTAATGTGTATAGAGTCATAGATGTTGTTTTAACATTGATTGTTGATGTTTGCATGGCTTATAAGTTTAAATAACTTACTAATATCTCCGATGGATATACAAAAATTGTCTACTCATCTAAACGAAGAGGAAAACATCTTTTGACAATGGTCCACAGGTATATTTTTTTAGGAAAGCAAAGTACGAATATCTGTGACCTTAGAAAAAGAAGAACATTTTAACAGTTTATTTCGATTCACAGTGGTAAACAGTCATCCTTGAACTATCACGATAGTAGTCATTTGTGCGTATTGGTAAGTTTTGTTACCTGCGTTTTTCAATACTCGTATTCGCAATACTACTCTATTTGTCTTATTAATCAGATAACCTTTAAATATAACCGAGATGTTCTAGTTTTTATAGCTGATATTGTAACTTAAGCAGCTTAGTTAAAAGGCTTAGTAACACATCAACTGGCAGAACAAAATGAAAAATAGAGAAAAATATGACTAAAATGAATTTAACTGGCTCTCGTTTGAAAATACTAAATGGAATGTTTTCAGCTTACTTAAACAGTGTTGGCAGTGTTCTTCTGTAACATTTTAAAACTTTCTTCATTAATTGTGAGCTACCGATTAGAAAATACGGCCGAATAAGACGACGGATGCGATAATACTAGATGAATCGAAAACATTTAGGTGAAATTTGCTTTGTTTAAACTAGAACAGCATAAAATCAAACGTCGACATGTGAAATAAGCTCGTCGCATAAAGTAGAATTGAACTATTTGTGACCTACAGTTATCGTTCGATAAATAATACCTGACCAAAATATAGATCATGTTTCAATCAGAGAACGTAAATACGTTTGTATTTACAAAAGTCTATTGATATCCAAGCATAGATTTATGTGGCCTAAGGATAATATCTATTCCTTACATAGGTAGAGTTATTCAAAACACTGAAAACGATTTTTGAAAAAATGGCAGTTTTCGGTAATAAACTAAGTGACTAAACAAAAATATCGAAGCAATCTACACATGGGGTACATATGCCAAAAATGGAATGAGTAATTGAAGCCCTTAACAAAAATAAAAGCGCAATACAAATAATCACAAATTAAAGGCAGATTATCTTTCTTGGATTATTTAGACTGGTTTAGTGTATACTTGGACAAATATTCAAACCTACCTTAATACCTTTACGCTGATATACACAGCAAAATTTTAATTAATAAGTTTCCTTATTAGTCAGTCTTATTCTGGTCAAAGTTTGGAAGGAACTCCAAATTAGTGCTTGTTATTAGAAAAATGCGTGATGCATCTATCATCACTGTTTTTGAAGCTTTACCGAGGTTGGAGTACACACCAAATTTCCGAACAAACTGGTTACGACGTCATCTTTTGTTGGTGATTCTCGTAACCCGTTAACAACATTTCTGCTTGAATGGTAACGTCGGAAAACTGATAAGAAATGATGAGTACAAACATTTGACATGATTAAAATTTCGTTTATAAATCCGCGGTTAATATATATACATAAATATATGTATAAAGACAAATCCGATTATTGAGTTCTGAATTTACTTCAAGATAAACACATGAGACTGAAATGTACACGGAATTAAATATTGATTAAATATAGAATAACTTGGACAGAAGTCATTTTTAGATACCATTAATGTAAGCAAATTTTAATATAAAATAACATTCAAATGTAATCTGGTTTTATGTCTTACTTCGGAGCATCGAAGCGACAAAGAAACTATAAGATCCAAAAGATAAATTACAAGGAAAATATATTTTCCAATTAACCACGGATTTTCACGAACCCAAGGAAGTCCGAATGCTTCTGACTAGAAAAAGAGTTGGCTCAACGTATGAAAAAAACTCAGAAAACCAGTTTATAATCATCAAGCTAATTTTGTACACCCAAAGTGAATATCAAAATACGAGGTTAAACAAACATTTTTAAATTATTAAATTAATACACAAAATGATGCAAGTGCTTAAAGTTGTTAGGTCATTTAACTACAGATAGTAGGCAGAAGACGTAGCATTATATCCATGTAAATAAAATTTTAGAATATTTTCAGCTCAGTTTTTAAAAACATAAATTAGGCTATTTTCGAAAGCTAAAATGACTAACTTCGTTCTCCTTTCCTTAGAAAGACGGTCTTACAAGTAGATCCGTGTTTCGTAGTCTTAGAAATGCTTTTCGTTTAATTAAATATGGTTAGACATATGATTGTGAACAGTCTGCTTGTAAACCCTCGCGATGAATTCATTGGGATACAAAAGGCAAACCGATGAATAAACTCATCAGAATTTAGTGCACCGATTGACAAAATAGTTATTTTCAGCATGATAGCTTGTTTTTACCTGATTAACCTTAAGTTACCAGTTCCCCATTACTTATAAAAGCTGGTCAAATACAGATGATTTGAGTGGACTAAATGAATCAGATAGTAACAAACATATATTTTAATTACGGGATTTGTAATAGAATGATGCAATAGTTTGGCGCACGACTTTACATTTTCAAATAGTACGCTTTGAATTGTAGGCAGTTTGTTGTTTGATAATTTATCTAGCAGATTGTTGAGCGCAATACAATTAGTTTTGTCATCGTACAAACTTTTGTGTGTTAAAAGGTTTCCAATAATGTTGAAGTTAAAATGTGTAGTTGTCCTGATGTACTATTAACTACCACATTAAAGATACAAAATGAAGTCAAACCTGATTATAAAAGAATATTGTACAATCTGCAAAGAAAAACACTCAGTTTTTAGTCATTGATTACTTTAAAATAGTTAAAAGTTTGTTTTCCATCAAGCTTCTATCAAAACGTTGTCCACACTATTATACTAGATACGTTCTGTACATTGATGTCTTGGTAAAACGCTTTTATAGTTTATAACTCTGCATAAAGAAGATACTCATTTATATTGCAAACTATCTGTAAATATCAAATAAAACGCTTTGTCGCTTCTATGAGACTGTAAAATCTTGACAACTGGCAGATGAGGAAAATTCCATATGAAACTTGGTTCGCGGTTAGGAGAAGATGTAATATTTCGAGATCTCAGTTAACTTATATTTCACCTATTGTTTAGGGAATAAATTCCGTGGTTATATTTGCATTCAGTATGTTTTGTTTATTTGTACAAACTAAATCGCCTATTATGTTTTTCCTTTATTTTTTGTGCCACCATTTGCGCTCAAAAATATCTTCAAGCCCACATTACCTTCTATTCCCGCTTTGACACAGCATCAAGGTGACATGTATATTCCAGGATACCCTTCACATCTTGACGTTATTGGCATTTTTCAGTTAAATGTACTGTGAAGCATGTTTATGTACCCTTTCAAGCGGCTGATGTCGGAAAGAAAACTGACTTTTTGAGAACACTTTAAGTGTAGTTGGTTTTCAACCAAAGTTTTACAAATAACATTCGTTCTCCCATAACTTGTTATTATTCTGTCGTTTACCACTTTTACTTCATTTTTGACAGTTTTGTTTGAATGCGACCACAAACATTCATATATATAACTCTTCCGTCTAGCCTTCCAGTTCGGATCATTAGAAGCCTAACATATAGAACTAAAACATGTAGAAGATAATAATCTTGGTTTCACTTCTAATTATTGTAAACAGGGCCTGAAAGATGTTCACAGTTGTAACCTGAAATTTTTCCGGTTAAACTAAGAGATGTCTCCCAGCTTCTTCAAGTATTTAGCAGATGGCACATTAAGATAATACAGACTAACACTAAATCGGTCACATCTTACCGCATATTACTTTTTTATAAACAGACTTTTTAATCTAGACCGTGATTTGACTTTTAAACTGAAAGAAGCATCAAAACACCAGAAAATTATCTAAAAAGGCTGTCATTTTCAGCTAACAGTGAAGGCTTTGACGTGCTTAGGATATTAAGCCGGTTTCCAAACTCTTTCGAAAACGATCTCTACATAAGTGCAATTTTGAATTTTGATTAGAGCAGTTATACTTTTGATTAACCCACCGAAAAAATTGTTCCAGCTTCAAAGCTTTAGTTTTTTTCATCTATAGAGATTAATCGTGTTAAAATTGAAACTGTAGACTCAAATATATCACACAACCCGGAATCACAAACTAAATTCAGTATGTTTGAATTTAATGTTCAGCTTCGAAAATGTAAGGACCAGTGACCCCTTCAGGTTGTACTACATGAAAACTAAGCTAGGGAGAGTAATATATTTTACGTCTGTTAATGATAAAATGTTCTTTACCGTCTAACATAATGTGGA